CAAATTGCCAAATAGAATCGACTCGGATTGCTTTGGAAGGATGTTGATATGATTTTCAGGTTGATTTGGACCATCCGAAATTCTCGATTGAGGGGTCGGATTTAAAAAAATTGGTTTTCAAGAGAAAATCCCCTTAAACCCGACAAACCGAATTGACCCAAATTGACTCCAGTAGGATTGAATCAGTTTACTCATCTTGTCTGTTCAGTTTCGAATTTTACCGAACAGATATGTTCAATCAGAAATGGGCTAAAATCAAGTGACCACTTGAAATGGTCTGGCCCATGTTAGGGAATGGGGGTAAGAGCCACTTTTTCTATGGGGTTGGGTTGAGTGTGTGGTGGGTCAGCTTTGGTATTTTAGGGAATGATACGCAAACCATCCCAATTATCATGGTTAGGGTTTAGAACTGACCCATTAGCGATTTGTGGGTTGGCCCCAATAGCTACAACATCAATTGCCAACTTTTTTTCAGGTTCCATGGCAGATTTGATTTCGGAGTGGTGTTATGGGACCCGACCAGGTAGCGTTTTTGCTTTAGGCGGTTGATCTTCTTCATCTAGTCAATACTTGGAATGTCAAATGTAAAACATCGAGTCAATGGTGCCTATGTCCCTTCTCGTACTCTATTCTCTCCCCCGATGTAGTCTAGTACCCTCATATTTCCCTCCCTCTCATTTCATTATTTTATTTTGCATTGATTTGACGAGATGGTGCAAGAACGTAGTCAAGGTTGACCACGTTAACGATGATTTCGATTGAATTGAAAATAATTTGATTATACTCAAATCGATTTCACTAATTTACGAAGAAAAATATTTTATATTAAAGATATTTTTTTGTGACATCCTACATTAAAGGTATTTAAAACACTGTAGAATCTGATCGATTTAAATATTAAAATATAAAATTATTAACTATTCACTATAAAATTATTCGATAAAAAATAATAAAATTTATTGACTCACACTTTAAGGTCTAAGAACGTTACACACACACACACACACGAGGACACCACCTATAGGTGGGGGACCTGTAGACAATAAAATATTGTTATGCCCGAAATTTACATGGAGCTCATTTAATCAAATATCACTATAAATTAAAAGATGCTAAAACAAATCTTACACGTGTCGCGATTTTCCGTCGTCGTAAAAAATCACCCTTTTAAAAAAAAAAAATTCCTGAAATTAGTCAAATTTTCTAGTGCCTTACTTCTCCACTTCTCCATTATATCACGTAACATCCACTCCTCCTCACCCTCACTCCTTCATTTCCTCCATTTTCTCTCTCCTTCCTCTTCCTTTTCCTTTCTTCTACGGCTTTTTCAATTGTGGTTAATGCCATCAGATTTTAGTGGGATTCCACCGCTGGAATACAGGTAGGTTTGGATTATGGCTATTCATTTACATTGATTCTGAATATAGGTTTGGATTATGGCCATTTTGTTCCTCATCCTCTGTTAAGCATTTGGTGGTTGGAATACGACTTTGGTTTATAACTATTTATTGATTATTCAACTCTTTTGATTTTTGGTAAATCCTGTGTATTTCATTTGACTAAATCGGTGAGTATGTTTTTTCGTGTGCTGCACTCCCCTCAATCTTCTGTTAAGCATTTGGAGGTTGGAATACGACTTTATTTTTTATAAAATACAGTAAAATATTAGGGTATGATGGGGTGGATTGCCAAGTTAGGGATTGGGGTGAAGAGTGTTTATTTACCAAAAGGATTGAGAATAGGTATACTGAGAAATTAATGGAAGCCATTGAGAAATGACTTGAAGGCATGACTTGGATGGAAGCATTTGATGTCTCCATGCCTCTGTCCAGATGGATAGGGGCATTAGAATGCATGGAGAAATGCCTCTATCCAATCCAATTATGCCTCCGTCCACTTGGACGGAAGCATTACTTGGACGGAGGAGTGAAATGCCCCCGTCCAAGTGGACAGAGGCATGCTATATTTTATTATTATTATTATTATTATTTTTTCTACTAATAACATTTTT